GGGAAAACTCAGATAGGAGTTTCTTAATATTTACATCCATAAAATCCTTTGTTTCAGGAGAAGATGTGTGAAGACAAAGACCCATCTCCTTAAAAACCCCCAGCCTCAACCGGACTGCGGGCTCAGCCCTCTGCCTCTCTGCTGAGTCGCCCGCCTGCCTGGCCAGGTGTAATCTCTCCACTCAACCATGTAACCTCACTCTTCCCCAGTTTGAGCGACTGAGCACCCTCTCTCAGGTTGTGTCTGGAGAGGTGCCCATCCATGCTTACAGATGTCCTTTCCCTAATAAACTTGCTATTTTACTTTTCCACTACTCTCTGTCTCACTAATAAACTTGCTATTTTACTTTTCCACTACTCTCTGTCTCACGCCTGAATTCTTTTGTGCGCAAAGACAAGAACCCTGCCATTCACTGGTAACAAGACAGAGAGTAAGTGGAAAGCAAAATAGCAAGGTTTATTAGGATAGGGACATCTGTAAGAACAGATGGGCACCTCTCCAGACAGAACCTGAGAGAGAGTGTCTAGTCGTTCAGACTGGGGGAGAGCGAGATTACATGATTGAGTGGAGAGAAAACACCTGGGCGGGCTCAGCAGAGAGGCGGAGGGCTGAGCGTGCAGTCCAGTTGAGGCCAGGATTTTTAAAGGGATGGGTCTTGCCTTCCCTTCCCCCTCTCCTTCTCCTCCTCCCAAACAAAGGACTTTTTTGTTGTAAATATGAAAAATTCCTTTCTGAGTTTTCTCCCTGAAGTTAACAGACGGGGTAGCCTGGCTGGTGCTGCCCTGGTTAGAGGAAGTGATTATCGGGAATGCCCCTAAAATCTATACAGAAATGTGGCCCTTTAGAGTTCCCCAGAAGTGCTATCTGGGGTGCCACATATGCTACCGGAATTTGGGGTGCCACACAATATCACTATATGCTTATTAATAAGTCCCCAATATTAATAAGCATAGAGGGTTCTTGCCTAATATTTAGAGAAGAATTCTAAATACCAGCACAGATAAATGAGGCAGCGTGGTACATTTTAAGCCTTTATTTAGTGAGAAAGATACATAGAAGAGTGAGAGCTTTATTAAGGGAGAGAGGTAAATCTGGGTTCATACCAAGTACCAGGAACCAGCCACGTGGAGGAGCATCTAGGCCAGGAAGCCTAGGGTGGGTGGCCCAAAGGCCACATGCCCTAGAGGCACAGGGCTACAGCCAGCTCCATACTGGCAAAAGGCCAGGGAAGAAGAGAAGGGTAGGGACACACTGTGTCCCAGGCTTTTAATCCACTTCCAAAGGGGAGTATTTAATTAACTTGATTTGCTGGTGGGCACCCAGGTGTGGCCAGGTAGGGGGATGAGGTCACATAGGGGCGTGGTGAGGGTATCAGGTAGGGCATGAGGTCACACAGGGGCGTGGCAAAGGCGTGGTCTTCCAGCTCACAAACCTAATTGATTTTAACCTGTATCCCTGCCTACTTCAGAAGGATGGTTATCAGGTAGAAGGGGCAGGATGTTTGAAGTCCAGACTGGGCTGCACCTGGAAGGTTATCAGGATGACTTTGAGATGCAGATGCTGGACCTGGATGTCAATGCCTTAGGCCTTTGCCACACACACATAAGCTCATTTCTGACTTCCTACCTAACACATCAAGTCCAGGAAGCATAGGATGGACCGAAGGCCAAGCACCCTGAAGGCACAGGGCTGCAGCCAGTCCCCTACTGGCAAGAGGCCAGGGATGGAAGGGAGGGATAAAGGCCCAGACACACCTTGTCCCAGGCTTTTAATCCACTTTCAAAGGGGAGTGGCTAATTAACCTGGTTGGCTAGTGGGCACTCAGGTGTGGCCAGGTAGGGGCATGAAGTCACACAGGGGCATGGTGAAGGTGTGGTCTTCC